TCAGCACAGTCAAACACTGAGACATTGTGCAGACGTTTTTAAAGACCAACTTCCCTATAAAGCCAACATGTTCTCAAGCAAGCTACCACCAGGGGGCTCCATCTTCATCTTCAAACAGTTCTGTAGTTCCTCCTCACACCTTAGCATCTTTTCAGTAAAACAAACTACGATTGACACTACTCCAAGTCAACAACACAGTTTGAGTCAATAAATGGCATTTGTTCAGATCATGTCCATTTAAGAGTTCCAGCTCAAGCTATGCCTAATCACTACCATGGATTTCAGCAACAGAAAGTTTTCAGTAGAAACAGACACTTGCGATTATACCTATGCTGACAAAGGGTCCATGGATTCTCACAGAATATCTTTAAGTCTCTTCTTCATTTGCTGCTCATTTCCCTCTCTAGTTGCAACAGATTAGCTCCTGTACAGCTCACTCTCACGTACAAATTCTTTCCACATTACTTATTCTAGTAACACTCATTCTATTTCTTAAGGGAAGAAAAGCAACTGGATTCACTGTCTATGATGGAAAAGCACCACTAAACACTTAGCATACTGTTCTGTAGAAGCATCCAACGCTCAAATAAAATCAAGTGGCCGCATCATCGTTTGAAACACTTGACCCCGAAACACAGGAGTCAATATGGGTCTCTCTCTAGGTTTTGTAGGGTGCAAGTGGACTAGGCAAAGGATATCTATGATCAGACCTTCTGAGGTCTTTCATTTTGTTTAAAAGCAACACCAGGGTCTGCTGTGTTGGACAGGGGCCAAGGCACTGTGGAAAAGGTTTGTTTTCCTAACCTAAATCTCCCTCTTCCCCCCAGCTACTTTTTGTCATACTGGTGTAAATTATCAATAGACCTATACATTTGAGGGGCAAATTGCTCTGGAGGATGGTGGAATTTCGATTGGGGCTATGGTACAGGAAGAAAATCACCCCTCTCCCAGGTCATTGGCTCTATTCCAATTCCCCTGCTCTGGCAGCTGCATCAGGCAATCTGTTAACAGATCTCATGCACTTTATCTGGTTGAGGCTTCAAATAACACACAAAGACATGGTGACAGGGTTAGACTAGAGAGCGAACCCACTTACCAGAGAGCAGGAGGTGTTCCTCATGAGGAAAGCCCTGGGGAATGGCTGGAAGCAAGAGGGTACAACAGCAGCTCTGAGAAGCTTGTCCAGAAAAGGCAAGACAAACCCCAGGTGGACCTGGTGATGGCTAACAACCCTGGAGACAGGCCAAGCTGGCAGCCATTAGCAGCAGCTGGGAACAGGTGGGGCAGCAGGTCAACCAAGCCAGAGTGTTTTAAGGCAAGGCTTAAACGCAGCAGGGAAAGGCTTGCTGGGGGAATGGCAGATGGAGTAGTAAGGAGGAACCTCTCAGTCATGAGGCAGGAAGAGTGCTGCCATCTACTTCCTTGCACTGTATGCCTGAAGGACTGAGTCCAGCATGTGCTTGGGGGAATGGGACCAAAGGATTCTAGACCTTACCCAGCTGGTCTACAGACTGCAGTACTAGAGGTCACCTGGGTGAGACCCAGTGTTCCCTCTAAGCTGAGTTAGTGTGAGCTGGCTCACTGTTTTTTAGCCTCCAGCTCACAGATTTTTGTCTTAGCTCAGGAAGGATGGGGCTCCAGAGCAAACTGATTTATGTGGTAGCCAAATCGCTCACTCACAACTTTAATGCCAGTAGCTCACGAAGAAGATTTTTTGCTCACAAGATTCCACAGCTTAGAAGGAGCATTGTGACACCCAGTCCTGCCACAGATGTCATTTGGAGAAAAGAGGCAGCCCTTTGAGAATCTGTTCTCTTGAGTAATTTGTTTCACGGTAGGCTTACTCTGATCAGTAGAGCATGTTTCCAAATGTGTTTAGCATCCGAGAATCAAGCCCTTTGTAGTGACCAGCAGTGTAAGTGAGCCCCTAAGAGCTCAAAATTACTTAAGGGAATATCACTGATAGCTAAGGATGTGTAACATCATACAGAAATCCATCTCCTAAGCAATATCATTTCCCTGATTATCCGAAAACACCACATAAGCTACTGAGCACACAGAAAAAACAGCAGGTCCAGTTAGAATGGTCACAGCATAACATATTCAGTAATGTTTAAGACAAATGCTTATTTTTTAAAAACAGCTCTCCATACCTTCAAGCCTAATTTTTCTGCCACAATTTGCCATTATTAGCCCTGCCTAGAATCTTCACTCCTCCAATACTCTGTCACTCAAGAGTCTCTCCCAAATAGCTCATTATTTTGATGCTAGTGAAGTTTGGAAGTCTCTCAAAGAATACCTACATGCCCCCTCCCCAATTCCTTCTCAAAGACTATCTGGCCTACAAAGACTTGGGGTTAACCCATGGGTCCCCACTCACAGCTGGATTTCAGTGTAAGTCCATCTGGCTCAACTCATTCATTGCTTCAACATTTTCCATAGTTATAATTCAGATTATAAATTCATCCATGCAAGGATTAGGCTCTTTGCGGTTTTCTTATGTTATTCTGTGAAGCACCACGTACATTGCCTCAGTCCAAAGGAAAAACACACACCATCAAGGATCCCACCGTTTCAGTCCTGACTTGGATAGCTCAGGCTAGCCCGATCTCATCAGATCTCAGAAGCTCAGCAGGGCCAACCCTGGCAAGTAACTGGGAGACCTCCAAGGAATACCAGGGCTCGGGACGCAGAGGCAGGCAATCAAACCACCTCTCTGAAAAATGTCTAAGCTCCCAGTAGGGGTCGTCAGAAGTCACCATGACTTCCAGGCATGCAAGCAGACACACACACACACACACATACACACAAGAAATAAAGGTTCCCACAGTTTTGAAAAACAGTTCCTGACTGCTGTAAACTCATTGTATTTAGAATGGAGATGGAAGAGGTACCAAGAGGATGAAGCAGCAGTGGCACCGCAGAAAATCAACATTCAGGGGGAACAGGGCAGTAGTAAGACAGCATGGAAACCTAGAAGGTTTGGAACAGCAAACAACTTATCCAGCTCTGAGACCTGCTTTTACCACAGCCTGCAACATGAGGCTTCAGTTTTCTCATATATTGCCATTTTTTTTAAAGTTAAAAATACAAACTGCCTTACACAGAAACAGACTATTGGTCTATCAAGGCAAGTATCGCTTGGCAGCATCTCCCTCTGTCTTTCAAATCAGCTGCTACTTGATCCTTTTAACTGAAGATACCAATGATTTAACTTAGGAGTTTCTGCATGCAAGAATGACATTCTACCACTGAGCCACAGCCCCTACCATGTTCTCCCCCCCTACTATATGATTTTAGAAGAAGAAGAAGAGCTTGGATTTATACCCCGCCCTTCAGTACCCGAAGGAGAGTGGCATACAATCTCCTTTCCGTCCCCCTCCCCACAACAGACACCCTGTGAGGTAGGTGGGGCTGAGAGACCTCTTTCGAGGACTGCTTTTGCAAGAACAGCTCTGAAAGAACTTATGACTGACCCAAGGTCACACCAGCAGCTGCATGTGGAGGAGCAGGGAATCAAACCTGGTTCTCCCAGATTAGAGTCTGCACTCCTAACTACTGCACCAAACTGGTTCTCTGCACCAAAAGATATGAAGAAAAATATGGTGGAGCCAGTGATGTGTAATGGCTACAGTGTTGTAGTAGGACCAGGGAGATCGGAAGTCAACTCCCAACTCAGCCATGAAACATACTGAGCAACTGGTTGCCAGTCACCATCTCTCAGCTAAAGTCAGAGGTTTGCAGCAAGGAGAAATTGGAGGAGGATGAATTCTGCTGTGGAGGAGGAAGAGTGTGATATAAATGTAAGAGAAATAGAAAGGTGTGTGACCCAGTTTATGTTCGGAGCATGTCAGGACCCACCAGATGAAGACAATTTGCTTAGAAGCACACAATTGCACAAAAACTGAGAAACACTGACCAGAAATTAGGTCACTTTCTGAAAGCCAGACTTCCAAACTTTTCTGGTTTAAACTCCACTGAATGGACAGACTGCAGAATAACTCCAACCACAGCTGAACATTTAGCCATATGTATCAAAGCAAAAAAAAAAAAGTTATAACCAGTTGCAAAACAAGGGAAAACCATCCCACACAAACAAGGCTTACAAGAAGAATTGTTTAAAAGCTGTTTTTATTTTCCTTCACCATTATTGTTTTACAATACAAATTTCACCTTGTTTGGAACACACAAAAAACCCTACAGAAGATAACTCTGCTTCACGTAAAATACAGAATGGATATATATATATATTTATATATATATAGATATATATATGCTTCTTCATTCTTAAAAAACTATTTTGTTCTGCACATTGGCAAGTATAGAATACTTCCCCCCCCAAACACAATATGTATGGCAGGACTGAAATTTTTAGAGTTACATGCAGTTTCTGCACAATTCTGTTTTCAATAAATCTTTTTTTTCCCCCAATAATATTTTCATTCAGGGATGAGACATTGTTTATACTTTTTGATTTCTGATTTGCTGATCGTCTGGAGGGAAAAATAGAAACCTTGTAAGAAGAAATTCATGGCTGTGTTCTTGCTATAGTTAAAATCCATGTATGGAGTAGACAATAAAATAACTTTAAAAGCACATTTCGCTCCAACCTGCCAAAAATGTGTGAAGATCATATTTGGTTTTCCCTTCAGACTCAGTCACTTCAACATTGCAAGCAGATTTCCAGGTCAATTTAGATATAAAATCAAAATGTAGTAATGTGTACAATACATATATAACCTTGGATTCATGGAATAGTTTATTTTAAATAAAAACTTCTGAAGACTGCCTACTGACCATACAATCAAGACAAGAAAGGCACTAGAAACAGACAAATCTCTCTCCCAAGAAGCATTTTTTTATTTTAACTCTTTTCTCTGACATGTAAAAATCTTTTTAGATTTTATTTTTACGCATATCATTTTGAAAAATAAAGTTAGGAAATACTTAGAAAATCACTTTACAACAGAATAATTTTTTTGCACTTTTTGACACTGTCACTGCAGATTTACAAAATCAAAGTTTACCAAACCTTTCTGTGTCTATCATTTGTAACTTCAGCGAAACAGGTAGAAAGATTCCTGTATTATTATCCCAGTCAGGTATTGAAACCTTCATATAGACATTAGCTAGAAAATGGCTTACAGCCCAATCTTTGGGGCAAGAGATATGAAAATTATGTTTTCCCAAGAAAATAATACGCTTTATTCCCAGATGAGACTGGAAAGACCAGAACTTATGATATAAAAGCCTCTCTTTTTAGTTTATGCTGCTGCATCATATACAAAGAAACATGGTGATGAGCAATGCAAATCCAAAATCTATTAACAATAAATGTGTACAGTGCATGAGAAGTTACCATTTCTTTTATTGTTGTCCATCGCAGATCCTTTGGAGAGAAAAAAAGATCACAGTGCTTACCAGGTAAGAGAATAGATTAAAGTCAGGGTAATTTATTAAAAGGTTAAAGGAGAGGGAGCAGTTCAATTTGTATGGCATCTTCTCTCGGGGAGTTCTTAGCACTTTGGGACAGTTCTCTTGCCATTTCCCATGGTGTAGCTGTTATGTGCCATTCACCAATCTGCTGTACTTCAGTTGTCTACCCACATGTAGTGCTGGCCAAGGAAATGGCCAATGATAGGAACGGGGTACAATGCCTCGAACATTCTTTTCAAAGTACTGGAAGGGCCTGTACCACCACACCTGTGCAAGAAGGTTTGTCTGGGAAGCTTCTTTTAGCACCTGCAAAGAAGGATTTTTAAAAAGTCAAAAGGAAAAAAAAATAGTCACACATTTAATTGTCCTATAATAACTTTTTGTTTAAGGCAGATGGCTTGCATTTCAGCAGGGCAAAAATTAAGAAATTGCAATTAAAGTAATGATCCCAAGCAGTCACCTCTGTAAACATTTACCATGTACCATTTTTTTCTTATTGAATGAGAAAAGATGCACAGCCATGGATCCAGCCATGGATTCCAGCATCTTATGAGAAGAAGAGGGAACCTGCATACAGACAATGCATGTGACCCTAAGGTAAATACTATTCATGTATCTTTCCACAAAGGTCCTACTTCCCCCAATGATAAACCAGATGCGTCGGAGAAAAATGCACAATGGATTCTCTCATCTTCTTTCCAGGTTAGCATCCCATAGAAAGAAGTTCTAACTTAGTGTTTAAGAAAATTTGATTACTTTAGTAGTCACATAAAACTAACAAAAGAGAATCAATTCCCTCTCCCTAAACACAATTAGGATTAAAAAATTTTTTTTAAAAAAACAAACATACTGAGTATATGTAGCATACGCTACTGGAATGCCAAGTTGCTGCCACAGGAAGTAAACGTTTCATTCATCCAACCCATTTACCATGATTGATTTGCAGCACAACAGCCCTGACCACTAGATAAATAGAGATTATGTTTACAAATGTGGGGCAAAAAATCTTTCCATGGAAAAATGCAGCATCAGAAACTTTTCCATCCCACATTACTGATCACAGCATACAGGAATGGATCAGCCTAAGCCAGTACCATTAACCCAGCGATGAGTATAGAAGGGAATATGAAAACTCACTTGTTGATTGGCCATTGTGTGATACCACCAGAAAAGTCTTGTAGTGATGTAGTAAGCCACCACCACATCCACAGTGTAGTGGTCATGAGCCAAGAGAATACAGAACATCCCAACTATGCTGAGAATCCAGCAAATCCAGTGATACCACCAGAGTCGCCGAGGTGAATCTGAAACCAAGGAAAAAATTCTTTAAGTCTGGTTCACTCCTCCGCAAGAATAAGGTTGACCAATTATCACAATTTGAAAAACCTGCAAATGGGACACCCACGAGAATTCTGCATCATGCCCTTTAAAAATTATATATTTGCTACTGCTGTTACAACATTTAATCTGAAACAGCTCACCTTTAAATGAAATAGTGAACCAAACTAACGTGACGTTAACGCACAACTGGCATTTTAACAAGGAAGTTCAGCATTGTTAAATAAAAGCATTTAAAATTAGCTTTTCAGATCAAAGACAAAACTAAATTTCTGGATTTGAAGTCAGGCCATTCTTCAGACATCCTGCCATATCCAATGATATTTACAAAGCTGCTTCCACCACTCTGAACAGCACTTCCCAATGATTTACTAATGTTTACTTGTGATGCAAAACTCAATTTATCAATGTCATCAATCAACACAGTTTAAGAGTTCACAGCCTGCCAATGTGAAACAAAGTAGCTCATTAAGAGACCAACATGGCAAACAGAACCAAAGGCCAAGGCTGAGTGTCAGTCTTCTTCCTCTAATAGTCTTCCAATCTCAGTTCTTCTCATATTATATTAGTTTTCATATGACTCTTGGGATGCAGAAGTGATTGACCAAGTCACTTTAATTATATTAACATTTGAACTCATTCTTTGACCTGATGGTCAAACTCATTTCCAGCAAATATTTTGCAAAGAGATTGTATTTTAAAATATCAAAGCTCAATCCCACCAAGTAACAGACCCACAGCCAGAAATTTTGGGTTGGTGGGGTATGGGAAAATTTTGTGGGGGAGCAGGGGAGGGTGAGGAGGGAGGGTGATTTTGCCGCTTGGAGATCAGGCGTGGGCAGCCCTTACTAGAAAAACAACATTTAAAGGGAATACTTTAAATGCTGTTTTTCTAGCAGAGGCTGCCCATGCTAGAATTGCTGCTTGGAAGGTGTGCGGCCAGCAGCTGCCCCTCTTCCTCACCTCCTGCAAGATTTAAAGGGCCCTCCAGCTGATTGGTGGGCCACGTGCTCCCGCCAATCAGCTGGAGGACCCTTTCAATGTCACAGGAGGGGAGAGAGGGGGAGGAGGGGAGAGGGGCATCAGCTGTAGTGGGTATGCCTCAGGTTTGAGGGGGCAGAGCCCCGAAATGTCCCACCGTAGCTATGGGCCTGCCAAGTAAGCCATTTAACTCTATTAGATAATGAAATGAACAGGATGAGGAATAGAACATATGGAAACTGGAGAGGAGATTAATATATACTGGCTCGGATCCTGTTTTTCTGCAAGGGGTTCTGAACTCATGGAAACAAAATTTCTGATCCTCTTCCACTGGCAGAAAGGCCTTCTGCCCACTGAAAACACGGTTAGGATCCAGACCCATTATATTCCTTTTATTATTCTTATAACATTTCAATCAAAGATTGACACACTTGGCAAGAGGTTCTGCGTTACCTTTCCTTGTTGGGATACTTATATCCTAAGGTACTCAGATTAAATTGGCTAACATAAATTTCTAGCCTGGTCTTGAAAAAGATCATAAACTTACACTCTTTGATAAATAAATACGTCAAGGTTAACATAACCGTGTGACCGCTGTACAGGTAGTCGCCACACATATCATGGGCCCCTGTGATAGAAAGCCCTCCTCCAGCAAGCAACTTCATTATTCTCCTCATGTGCGATTCCCAGTCTCCAAGGAGCTAACAGAACATTACAAGAAGAAGAAAAAATAATTCAGCGTTTGTAATTTTGTAGTAAGATGCGCTTTGATTAGAACTGTAACAGAAAATGAGTTTATATTCAGTGCATGGTATTATAAAGGAACAACTTTCTAGTCTTAAGGGAGAGAAGGCAGCATGGTAGGGTCTCATCTCATCAGATCTCTACGCAGGGTCAGTACTTGGATGGGAAACCACCAAGGAAGACTCTGCAGAGGAAGGCAATGGCAAACCACCTCTGCTTCTCACTTGCCTTGAAAGCCCCGTGTTGAGGATGCCATAAATCAGTTACTACTTGATGGCCCTTCCATACAACTGGGTGCATCATAATGGTCAGTTACTAAATAAATGAAATTTTCTATTTCAAAACAGTAGCCCTCAAGTAAATCTCTACCATACAATTTCTTTACATTTGCTATGAACTGGAGAAAATACCATTTTATTCTTTCACCATCAATGGGAATATTAGAAAATTATATTGCTGAACAAGTCACTTACTTCCCTAACCATTTATTATTATTTCTTATCATTGGCCAGATAGTCAGAATGGTTAAAAAAAAACGCCAACAATTGGCATCCTCTTTATACAGGATAAACAGGAAATGTCTGGAAATGTAATGCTCTTCCTGAATACCATTCAGTTGGGGTATGGTTAACCAGCATTATGCACTTCTGACTGCCAGTTCCTTTGCACATGAAATGCATGTTTAATTCTCTTCCAGTGAAATCAATGAGACACCAGAATCACTGACTAGGAAGGGGACTTTTGGGCCATCTAGTCCAACCCCTTGCTCGAAAATCCTAAACTAGAGTGTTACTGACAGACGGCTGCCCCACCTCTGCTTGGGAATCTCCTGGGAAGGAAAGCCACCTCCCAGGTAACTGGTTCTACTGTCAAATTGATCTTATTATTAGGACATTTCCCCTCATGTTCAGCTGAACCCTTCTGTAACTTAAACCCACAAGATCTAGTCTTGCTTTCTGGAGCAGCAGACAGTCTATGTGACAACTCCCCAGGTCTCTGAAGTATACTATTATATCCCTTCTCCAGGTTGAACATGAATAGTTCCTCCCACTTTTTCTCACACAGGACTGGTCTTTCAGACCTTGACCATCATCATTATTCTCTTCTGAACCCCCTCACTTCATAAACTGCAGCACAACTGGTGACTTGGACCCTAAAACTGCTCTTTTTTGCTGTTGTATCATGCTACTAACTCATGCTTCACTTGAGATCAACTGAAATCTTGAGATCCTTTTCATGTACACCACTGCCAAGTCAGGCATACTTGCACATTTTTTTGCCTAAATGCAGAACTGTGCATTTGTGTCTGTTGAATTTCATTTCATTAGTTCCAGACAACTTTTCATCCTATTAAGATCATCTTGAATGTTATTTTGTATTCTAAGGTATTAGCTAACCAGCTCATCTTTGCAAAATCTGTAAATTTAATAAGAAGAAGAGAAGGTAAGAGATTGGATTTATACCCCGCCCTTCACTTGGAGTCTCAGAGCGGCTTACAAACTCCTTCCCCTTTCCCTCCCCATAACAGACACCCTGTGAGGTGGGTGGGGCTGAGAGAACTCTGACAGAAACTGCTCTTTTTCAAGGACAGCTGTGCCAGAGCTTGTGACTGACCCAAGGTCACATCAGCAGGTGCAAGTGCAGGAGTGGGGAATCAAACCCGGTTCTCCCAGATTAGAGTCCACACCCCCACCTCTTCACCTATGACCTGTATACAGAACACCAAAACTGCATGAACTGCCGAAATGTGCTTGACCTTTTACAAATCAGACTCTCAAAAGTGGTAAGTTCAGTACCTAACAGATTTTTATCTTTATTGGAATTAATCGACTCTCTTAATTGGAAATATTGAAACCATTTGGAGACTACTTTATCAACCAACTCAGAAAGGGAAAGACAGCATCCATCCATTATGGTATCTATAAACCTAATGCAGCTCCTGTTTATCCACTGTCTCCACGGTTTCATTATCTTAAATTATTTATTATATATAAAGGATTGGAGAAGAGATATCTGGGTACTTAACTTAGATCTTAATTTACACCATATCTTTACAAACTCTTCAATAAAGGGGTTACCATAAGAGATGCAATCTTTTTTATTATTTCATTCTTATATGGATACCATGGTACATAGGACAATACCTTAAAAGAATCCTGTTCTACAGCATACCAAGAAGGAGAGGAGAAGAAACTGGATTTATACCTGCCCTTCACTCAGAGTCTCAGAGCAGCTTACACTTGAGAGAACAGCTCTGAGAGAACTGCAACTTGTCCAAGGTCACCCAGCAGCTGCATGCCAAGGAGTGGGGAATCAAACCCAGCTTTTCCAGATTAGAGTCCAAGCTCTTAACCGCTACACCAAACTGGCTCTCTGATTTAGCATGTATCTAGTACTTTTACATATCTTTGCTCTCTATAGGGATATAATGGAGAGCTAAATTTGGATATGATAAGCTCCCAGCATTCTTAGGTCTCTGAAGTATTTCAGATGACACCCTAGGCTTCTTATGTAGCCAAATAAATATTGAAAATTCCCTGTGCCAGTGAACTAACTTTTGCTCAGAAATACCAAAGGAAATGTTCTCAAACAAAAATAGAATCCTAGGCAACACCATCATTTTTAAAGCATTGATTCTTCCAATCCAAGACATAGTCTTAATTGTTCATTTGCTTAAATCTGATCCTAAGGTAGAAGCACAAAGCTCTTCTAAGACTATTATCAGATTATCACCTTCCACACCCTCCTTCAAACCTCTTATTTTCAACTTATGTTGCCTGCTTTTACTCTCTAAAAATCCTATTTTATCCTCCAGTAATGCTAGTCTGATCTCGTCAGATTTCAGAAGCGAAGCAGGGTTGGCCCTGGCTAGTATTTGGATGGGAGACCTCCAAAGAATACCAGGGTTGTGACATGATGGCAGAAAATGGCAAACCACCTCTGACTGTCTCTTGCCTTGAAAACCCCACAGGGTTGCCCCAAGTCAGCTTTGACGGCACTTTTCACCTCCACAATTGCAAATGGCTCTAATTTTCATCTTGTGCCACTTGATGCATTACCACATTTTGTATTGACTCTAGTACAAAAGTGTCCTGGGACAATGCTGATTTAACTTATTCTAAATTATCCAATTTCTTTTCCATTTAAGGTATATTCCAATTCAATTTTTGTGTTATCTAACTTAACACTGATATTATATTCAAAAGTAATAAATTAGTACTGTAAAGATTTCTTAATGCTATATAAATCACTCATATCTAAATACCAATTAAATTTCATCTTTTCTTTACTTGAACTGTTTCAATTACTCTTACATATTATATATATTGTATAGATAGCACTTTTACGCCTTCTTCATTATAATCCTGCCATCTCTTCTATCTTCAAGTCAGAGAGCAGCAACAAAACCAAGCAAGCTGATAATTACAAATAGCAACAATGTCTGTAGTTAAAAGGGCAAGGCCCATCAGACCTCAGTAGTTCCACAATGCTACTGGTTGCTGTAAGTACTAAATTAGTGAGAAAGGGACAAGTGGTTCTCAATCAATCTGCCAGGTAGCTTCCATCAGTCAGGCACTTCCTACCCAACTAAGGGGAAGGGAATCTTCTTCAATGTTGTGAGGCACTTGGAAGGGGAGATGCTACTTACAGTTAAATCATTTGTCAAGTATGATAGTCCTAACTAAGAATATCAGAGAATTGGTGTGCCCAGATTTGGCACCAGTGACTCCCAACTTTTAAGAACGAGGAACCAATCCAGTAAGCATTTTACATCATGAGAACACACTTCATGATGCATTTTGATTAATTTTGGTTTCTGAAGTTACAATGTATATTGCTGTCAAATTATAAATAGGGATGGGCATGAATCAGGAAAATGCGGTTCAGTTCGTGGTCTAACCACAAATCAAACCATGAACCAAACCAGGAGGTTTGCTTGCAAACCAAACTAGTTTGTGGCCCTGCAAATCCCATTGAAAGGAACTACAGTCCCTTTAAACAGGGTTTGCAGGAAGATGGAAAAAGAGCTGAATGGTAGGGAGCAGCTTGCACCCTGCCACTCAGCTATTTCGGACTGTCTTCTGCAGTACCTCTAAACTTTAAAGGGCCTTCAAAAGACAGTCTGAAACAGCTGAGCGGCGGGGAGTGCATTCCCACTGCTCAGTTGTTTTCGCAACTTTCGTGAGAAAAAAAAACAGGGAGTCCCTTTTAAACCCTGCTTTCTGCTCCATCCACAAACTGCTTTAAAAGTTTGTGGAAGTTCATGACAGTAGACTTGTCATGAACTTCTGTTCGTGAACCATGAACAGGGCAAAATTCATGATGAATTTTGCTTCGTGGTTCAGTTTGTGCCCACCCCTAGTTATAAACCAAATTCCTTTACAGCTGCAAAGCTAGATAATGAACTGGAGTCTGTAAGCAGCATGGTTGTTTGTCTGTGTTACCATAGCTAACTTTGTGAAGTTGTCTAGCACTACATTCAAGGTAAATAAAGCATTCACAACTGCTTCCCATTTAAAACTTGGTTTGTCAGAAAACAGCAGTGGTGGTGATTATTTTCAATAATCAACTTATTCCTGTGGGGGCACAGTGGGATGCATTTCAATGGGGTCATTGTTTGTGACTATTGAGTCATAATTGAATGTTTTTTTTGAGTTTGTGACTATTGAGTCATAATTGAATGCTATGATGGCATTGTAGGCATCCTCAAGGATGAGGGGATATGATACAGAACAACTTCTAGAACAACAGCTGGAAGCCTAAGGTACAATGACAATTACACTATATTTATGCATGGTTTTGAATGCTGATTTTGTCTCTTCCCCCAAGTCCCTGGGTTAGGCCAGCATCAAAATATATAATAACGTAACAGATTGGGACAGCCATAGACCAACAAATAAGAAGAAAATAGATTTGGGGATGCTCAGCAAGAAAGAAGAAACAAAGGAAAAATCCTGTGTGTGAGGGAGGGAAGAGGGCGAGATTGCCATAGTAACATCTTAGAACAGAATTATTGGCTCAGATGCCAGTCACCAGTCATTGTTGCCCTTGCCTGCAGAACTACTAAGCTTACATCCTTGGTTTGAGAGAGAAGACAGGGTCTGTTGTTTGTTTTTGCTAACAACTGCCAATGTTGTGCTCCAAGAGAAGAAATACTAATCCCCCCCTGAAGATGGTAGTTATCAGAGTCTCTCTCTAAAGAACTTTAACAATCCAGACAATCAGCAGACAAACTTTCACTTTTATTTTCCAGGAAAAAGTGTTAGATGGTGATACCTTCCTACTCTGGACCTTCTTGAATGACACTAGCTGTTTCAACAGTTTCCAGTCCAAACTCCGGACCACAGGCTTAACAGTGTTAAGGAAGTGGGCTGATAGGCAGGATGGGACAAACGTGGCTATAATGGTCTTGGACAGCAAACTGAAGTTGTACGTCAACAGAGGGAACTGAACCCTGTTGATATTACTAGAACCTTAAGGACCTTTCCACACGATATACCATGATACTCTTCCAAAACAAAACAAAAAAAAGTTTCTGGAAGGCATTGACGTTACCACCCTAAGTTGATTCCAGTATTTTCTAGAAGACTGCGCCAAAAGAGGAGACTCTGTTTTCATCTTGGAAACCGACATGGCATGGGACTCTAACCTTGGTAGAATTTATAGTCTGAATGAAATAGAGCAGGATTCCCATTCACGTTCCTAATTCTTGTGCATGCACCCCTCATATCTTACAACAAATTGCACAGTTAATTTGTATAGACACTGCAGGATCAGAGCTGGACGTATGGCTTAAATGGAAGGTAACTGGGGTGGAGCATATAGATTTTATTAAGCAGTCCTTATACCTTGTTCATCATAAATCAAACTGATTGGAGAGGACATGAGAATGAGTCTCCTGTCATAATGAAACAATGGCTCTCCAATGGAAACCAAAAGGATAATCCCAAAGTCAGCAAGAGAAGATGGAATTGTTATAGGACCTGGTCATTAGCTACTTTTAAGGCTGAACGACAATATGGATTAGCTTTGCAATAAATGCTGCCAATTTTCTTTGGCAAGCAGTTCATGTCACATTAGCTAAACTGTTCCAAATGGTTGAGACCCATTCAGAAAACAGAGGGGGGGAACTAATTAATGATAGGAAGGGGAAACAAATTACCTTTGGAGAACAGTTGAAATGCATGCCAGGTACTGGAAGTGTAGTTACATACATTGTAATACACCGGTACAGGTATAGTGTGCCAACTATACAAAAAAATCTTCTGCCAATAATAGACCTGAGGGGGGAAACAGGAAAAACTGTGCATCACTTGAAATGCTTGAGACCTTGGTATAAAATAAACATGTTAGTCTACTTGGCATCTATGTACTATAGCACAATACATTATCCCATATTCATTTATATAATAAAAACATTAAACACGAATAATAGTTTATGCCCACTGAAAGCTATTACTTTTGCCATGCCCTAACTGTTCCCTGGAAGGCCAGATACTGAAGCTGAAGCTCAAATACTTTGGCCACCAAATGAGAAGGGAGCAATCACTGGGAAAGATTGAAGGTCAAAGAAGAAGGGGATGGCAAAGGATAAGATGGTTAGACAGTGTTATCGATGCAACGAACATGAAATTAAGCAAACTTCGGAGCATGACAAAAGACAGGAGGGCCTAGCGTGATGTGGTCCATGGGGTCATGAAGAGTTGGACTCAACTGTGCGACTGAACAACAACAAAGCACTTTATTACTACCATTCACTCCTACAAGAAAATGAAATGCTACATGAGGGATAATTTTGTTTTATGGATTGCAGTTTCTGCCTCACAACAACTAAAATTGGTTCACCAGGCTGACACCAACAGGGACAAGACAAAGATCACGACAAAGATCACGAAATGACGACTGAGGGGTGACATGATTGAGGTTTATAAGATTATGCATGGGAAAGAGCAGGTAGAGAAAGAGGTACTTTTCTCCCTTTCTCACAATACAAGAACTCATGGGCACTCCATGAAATCACTGAGCGGTCGGGTTAGAACGGATAAAAGGAAGTACTTCTTCACCCAAAGAGTGATTAAAACTTGGAATTCACTGCCACAGGAGGTGGTGGCGGCTACAAGCATGGACGGCTTCAAAAGGGAATTAGATAAGCATATGGAGCAGAGGTCCATCAGTGGCTATTAGCCATAAGGTATAGATAGGGGCTCTGGGGCAAGTGATGCTCTGTCATCTTGGTGCTTGGGGGGTCAACAGTGGGAGGGCTTCTAATGTCCTGGCCCCACTGGTGGACCTCCTGGTGGCACCTGGTATTTCTGGCCACTGTGTGATACAGAGTGTTGGACTGGATGGGCCTTTGGCCTGATCCAACATTGGCATCTCTTATGTTCTTATCACGTCTTATTTCATCCACAAAATCTAAATTACCAGCTGTCCAGTCTCAGTTTGCCTAAGGGTCATGCACAGAAAGGTTTCAACCCTTCAACTTCCACTTAGGTTTCATTTTTTTTTTTTAACTGGCTCACACAGTACTTCTCCAAGGCAGTCAGCTTCAAAAAGCAAAACCTAGCAGAGACTGAAAGCTTACACTCCCTCTTCCTTCCCTGCATAGCCCCAAAGGCAAACTGAAGATACATGAACCTGCAATTTGCAATTGATCTATAGAATAAGACGGTGATCTTAATCTTGTCTGAGTTCTAAGTGATGCCGAATCCTCAACACTCCCAGTACAGAAATTTTGGGGGCAAGATCTGATGATGTCAGGGGTGGGGTCTAGTTATATCATACCTTGACAATATTGTCCCATGCAACGATTTCAGTTGTGAATCCCTGGTGCAAAGAGTTGCTTTGAGAAAAGGTTTGTTCATGCCCAGTGGGATTTTTTTCTGTTTTATTTTGCAGACCCCAGTCCTGACACATACCCATTTGCTGTTGTTGTTGTTCAGTCGCACAGTCGAGTCCGACTCTTCATGACCCCGTGGGCCACATCACACCAGGCA